ATATAGAGTTGAAATAAGGGTTTCCCGACTCGACGGGCCAGAGTTATTGTAATGTTGGTCAACACTATAAAAGATTGTTAGTAAATAACTTAAATTTTATTCGGTAAGCGAATTTTTGAAAAATCTCACGTGAATTGCATGTAGATCAAAGCTTAAAAATTGTCGTTATATACTTTACAAATAAATTATTTTCAGAGTATATAATGCGTTTTATGGACTTATTTTATGTTTGTGGAATGGTCTGCGAATGTCACACTAATTTGCTCTTTCGACTATCATTATCGCAATTACGGCTGAATAATGGTAAGTGGACAATTTGCCACAAAAACTTTCTAACACAATTTTATGACTATATGAACATAATTGGAGACAAATCTAGTGGTACGTGCGTGCGTGAGTACTGTGTCACTAGTTGTGTGCTTTTTGCATGTGCGTGCGTGTGTTAGACATTAAGAATATCAAAATATATCTCCAGATACAACTTCCGAATTCGAATCGATGATTAAGTAAACCAGTCCTAACCTATTAAGTATACTTGTTTGTGGAGATGGATCATGTAAAGTATGAAATCTTAATAGAACTTAATAAACCTTAATTAATGGCTTCGCAATCGAATAATAATAAAAATTGTTTTTTTAATTGATAATATGAATTAAGCAAACTCTATCTCCTCAAACTTTATATATCACGTGCCAAAGACTTATCTTAGAGACATTTAATAAGTTTTTGTTAAAATAAGAAATTTTTGCTTAATGTAAATAAATTTTCTTTTTTAACCAAAAAAATACGCACCAAGGTCATGGTGGCAGTCTCGTGATTAATTCACAGCAGCTTTGATGTTTATCTAAATATAGTAGGATGTACTTAAATTATATGTTGAGACCTTAATTGTTGACAACTGGTTGTTGAGTATTCTCAATTCTTAATTTTTTCCGTCCTTATTTGTATGTTACTTTTGTTGGTTAGGATCATGAGACCGTCAATGCTTTATGCCATGGTATAGTTCCGCATAGGCTAGACTGTCCAATGGATTCTCAATGGATTGGCCCGAACTTGGTCTTAAAAATTTGGATCCAGTAAAAATAGGTCCAGACTCAAAAGCCCATGGATAGATAGTTCATATTTAATTTTGATCGGCATATCATCACCGTTATCCTTATGATTGACGCCAACATTATGAACTCGAACTGTTTTAATATAAGCTTATGCAATTTGGATTCATGGTTTGTACTATGCAGTCATGGATCTATCCAATCAAAACATGGGCTGGATCTAGATTTCGAAATATCCAGCCCAGCCGAAGGATTGAAACTGGTATTCATTTAACCGCCTATAATCGTTTATTATCGTTATATTATACGGTTAAGCGAGTAAAAAATTTTATACGTATGATTAATCGTTTAATGTCTCATGTGCAAAAAAATATGCGCATGTATTGTACATCTCCATAAAGATTATCGTATTTCGCGGTCTAGACCACTCCCCTGTTTAGAATATTCATTGCTTTTATCTGACATTTTTAATTTTGGCTTTCATTTATCGTTGGTAAAAAAAATTATATTTTAACTAAATAATATCCAATAATATATAGTACAAATATTAACTTATTTACTAGGTAATATATGTATTTAAGCATATTAACTAAAAATACATATATTACCTACGTAGTAAATATACAGTAAATAAGTACTATATATTTCTGGTTATTATTTAGCTAAAATATAATTTTTAACCAGTGTATACAGTATTAGCATGGATTGTATAAAGTATAAACCGTAAAATTTACACTATTATTAATATTAAAACATTCAGTACAAAGCTGTGAAAATTCTATAGGGAGGGTGGTTTAGACCGCGAAATACGGTATTAATCGGATTTTATTTACAAGACAAAAGTGCATCGCTAGCATAACGATAAGTTTTACTAAAATTACAGGCCGGACAAACTTGTATAATCCTGATAACTCGTGAAAGTTCGTTACTGTGTGGTGTCGACTCAAAGTTTCATTAGGAGCAAGTTGTTTTTCAAACACTGGGTAATGCGACTTGGAAACCGATCAATAAGCGTTTAAATGATTAATAAGATTAATAAACAGGTAAACGGATAAATGATCAAACGATTAATAACAGTCACACAATATTTACCTATTCAAATTTCCTATTATAGTCAGATGATCGACGCATCCAAAATTTCATATGAAAATTTGCGTCACAACTTTTATTTGGTAAAAAAAAAGTTCAAAGTAGAGGGGGATTTGTTCTTTAGCATTTATAAAATTTGGATACGTAGTGATTAAAAATAAATCTTGGTCCCGATTTTTTACTGCTGTACATCAATGACGCATCTCATTTGACCAAAACAATGACGCATGTCAGTCAGAATCAGTTGGTTAGACTTAAGCTTAACCATATGACTCTGACTGGCATGCGTCATTGTTGTGTTACATAGTACAGCAGTATTGAACATAAATGCTAAAGATCAAATCCCCTTCTACGTACGAACTATTTCTTTACCTTTTTTTTTTACCAAATAAAAGTTAGGACGTAAATTTTCATATGAAATTTTAGATGCATTGATCATCTGACTTTAATGGAAAATTTTAATAGGTGACTGATAACGTCAAGCAATATTACGATTTGAACTGGATAATAAAATTCCTGATCGGTTAACCGAATTAACTTACCCGAATACAATCGACTCAACCGGATTATTTTGGTTAGATCAATTGACCTAGCCTAGATCTTTTTTTTAAAAAATCACTAATCAGGTGGCCGATGTCGTGTTTCCTTATTCATCAATTTGTTTGTTTATAAGTATGACAAAATTGATTTAAGTAAATGAGTTTTCTTTCTTTAAAAGGAAAAAAATGGACGAAGAAATGATTATAAAGATTTATATAAACAGCTTAGATTATTGACCATTTTTTTCTTAAAACCGTTATTTTTAAATTATTCCTCAAGAATTTTATTGAAAAACATCTTCACATGGAGTTTTAAACTTAACTAATGATAGAATCCATCAATGAAAGAAAGAGAGTTACATGAATTATTTTGTTCATTAATAAATCACTTGTTTACCTTAATAAAATAATCTGGCTTGTATATCTGATGGAATTATTAATCTTCATACTCAATATAAATTTTCAATTTTTTTTGATCCAAAGTAAATGGTAAGAATTTCTTGCTAAATACATATTGATAGTGATATTTGCTCGTAAATATTCGCAATGACCTTTTGACAATCAGTGTGTAAGTTATGCTGCGGTTGAGTGAGACACAGACAGGTAGTGGTCTAGACGCTGTGAGGGTCCCAGATTTATGACATAAATTTCAACCGCTAATTACTTGTGTAGTCACCGTGTAGACATTCAGATTAGTTTTAGTTTTATTTATTTATTGCTTAGGTTAAATCTAAAAAGTAGAATTCTTGTCAAAGATTTACGCGAATTCTTGAATACAATTTCAAAACAACATCTGTAGGCTTTCTCGTTTTGAATGTTGAATTGGATGATAATGCAAGAATAGAATTAGAAAATTCTCCTATTAAGGAACATATCTGTGTGTGTTTTTACTATGAGGTCGTTGATTAAATTTTTGAATATGCACGAATCTTGGAAGAGAAACAAGGAAGCAAAGTAAGGAAAGGAAAAGAAAAGCCAATGAGTTGAAAGCTGATAACAAATTTCTTCGAAAGCAAAATAAAAGAATCAAAGAAAAATTCCAAAGTCAAATTGAAAAACTTGAAAGTCAAATCATTGATCTCAAAGAAAAAACTGAAATTCAAAATCAAGACATTAAGAAAACGTTTAATAATTTAAAAAACAAAATCAAGAAATGAAGAAAAAACCTGATAACCAATCTAAGGAATTCAATAAAAAACTCGATTTAATTTTAAGTAAATTAAATTAAATATAGGAATAAATACTTGCATGCGGAATTTATTCTGACATGTTAATAAATCTCTTTGTAATATAGAAAAATAAAATTTTATTCTTATACCTAGAAGAGGCATGACAATAAATTCTGCGTAATTGACATTGGTTCAAATAGTTTTGCCATAATAAAATAAAAAATGTAACATGCGACACGCCATTGCCTAACCGACCAATCAAGATGCAAGGTCAGGTACAATACTGACTTTCTGCGTTTTAACAAAAGATTCCTTTAAGTTAGAAACTTTTATTATTATCCTGCTTCAGAATAAAGATTAGTCCTTTCTTGTTGTTCTTGTTCAGGCTGGTCCAAAACTTTCACAGATATGGGTGTTGCAGAGTTAAAACCTGTAAATTTAATGATTTACTATGATCCGGTTACAGATTTTTACTTTGTAACACTCATTTGCAATATTTGTTCCAGTATCGGTATGTACTCCTCAAATGTCTCATGATCGATTACTTGTAGTTTAATTTCCCAGATCCAGAGTTGAAAACGACCTATTGAAATAGTGGCCATTTACTGCGCCATTATCCATTGTTTGAAGTATCTTTTTTGATGCTTCAAAATTAGTATTTAAATTACTAATTACTAAATGATAATCGTATTTTAAAACAATAAGATGTACAATATTACATATATAATCAATTAAATTTTATTGTAATGTGGATCAAGAACGATACTTTGCAAATGGCCACTATTTCAATAGATCTCATTAACCCAATGTGCTATAACACCTGCAGTAAAAAAGTCTTGCAGCTATTGTTAACAAATATCCATATCCATAGTAAAGAATATTTTGCTTGTAATAAGGGGTCGCAATCTCACTGTTTATCATCATAATTGTCTTACTACCTTCAGAAACTTTCGATTCATTCGGCCAATACGTTTAACTAAGGAGTGATTTTACGAATCATATAGATATACTTTAAATATGCATAGGTTACACTTTAGAAATTTGTATTACCGATATACTGTAAATAAGTAAATCCCCTACGTATAAAATTGAATCCAAATTTGCAGACAGCCCGGACTTGTAACAGTTTCCATTTCCTAGCTGCTTTATCAATGACGGAATCGTTATCGGTAACCTCCCAACCTAAGAAAGTATGCCTTTCATACACAGGTATAATTACGTGCTTTCTTAGTTGCTTTTCAAAACTGTATATTTTAATACTCGCAAATTCCCAGGTGGCAAAGACTGCACTCTAACACTACATTTATTATCCGCTCAACCCGAAAAATATAATATTGTCTCACTCATAACATTTACTCCTGCGGCCACTAAACCATTTCTCGCTCATCCGCAGCATTTGATAAAACTTCAATCCCAGGCTCTTACTCTTCCCCATCAATTTTTATCTGTCACTCCACCATATGTAGAATCTTATCGTTCTTTAATCGTCTCATGCAACATTGATGTTTTAGCAACAGGTGACATTCTTGATGTTTGTAACCGATTTATGGATCGTGTCGTTGAGGGTACAGATATCGAGCTAGTACGTCCACTCTGGGAACGTGAAAGGACAGAGTTAATTGAAGAAATATTTAAGTTTGAGTTTGAAGTTTTAATAAGTTGTGTAAATTTGGAAAATATGAAGGAAGATGCTGCCAGAAAATTGGTTGGAAATATTCTTACACGTGACCTATATGAAAACGTTATACTAAAGCAAGATGTAGATGGATGTGGTGAAATGGGCGAGTATCATAGTATGGTATTAAATGCACCATTGTTTAAAAAACGGATCGTTATTAAGAAAGGTAAACAAACGATTTCAGAGGATGGAAAATTTTTATACTTTGAAGTTCAAGAATGTGAATTAGTTGATAAAACGTGTTCTGAATAAAAAATATGAGTGGGTGTTACCATTTAAACCATCTATTTTACCATTCTTGTCTTTTTATCGAAGTGAGTAATCAAGTAGTTTGAAGCTATACCCAGTAAGACGATGCGAAAAGAAGGGATGAAAAAAAGACTGATAAGAAATAGAATGCCACATTTATTATATACTTACGTACCTCCTTTACTTTTCCGTGACCGTCATAATTCGAAATAAGCACATTAAGTAGTCATCATTAAACGATTTGTTGATTCGGAACACCAATCTAAAGTAGCAAAGATCGTATAATATATTACGCATAACGTTAGAGACGTACTTCGCGTGAGATATAATTAGCATTCAATATACAGTCAACACTCTAAATGCAAGTTGCAGGGCATAGAAAAATTTAATATAAAAAAATAAAAATCTTGTATTTGGAGAGAAGTTGCATTTAGAAGAGCACAATTCATATTACTCTGCATATTTGGTTTGCATTGGAGAAGATTTGCACTTAGTGAGAGTCGACTGTATTATGATTTCACGGACAGTGTGAGGTGGTCTCATGTAAATCGAAATTTATAGATTTTAATGGTAGTTTTAATGTCAAATTAATTTATTATATAAAATTTATTTAGAGAACTACAATTACCACCATAGTATTTTGCTATTTTCATTATTATACTTTTTTTATTTTTATAGTGCGAGGCACTTAAAGGCTTCATAAACTTTAAATGTTAATAATATTTAATAGAAAACAATAACATAAAAAATAGGTTACTATTTTGTAATTTAACTAATTTACTACAACTTGGCGGTTTTATTTTCAAAAATTATTATAAGCTTCCAAACCCTTACAGACAGCATAGTGAGCTTGCGTTCTGTTTGGCTAGGAGATCGGAATGTTATACTGATTATATTTACATATTAGAACAACCTCTTGGTTCACTTTAGACCGATTGTACATCACAAAAATGAAATATAGAAGGTTGCAACTAAAAAGATCTTAAAATGTATTTTGGTTTTATATATAGTTAAAATAATTTAAGAAACAGTAAGATAATTTAGAAGTTAACTAAAAAAACATTTATTTGAAAACATGTATGCACAAAATTCTTATTATGAAGTTTTAATTTTCTTTAATGAAAAAAAAAGAAAAAATTAGCATTATGATTTAAAGAATTAAGAGAAATTATTTGTGATAATGAATAGCATAATGTTTTTGTTATATTTAATTAATTTATTTAGGTAATTATATTAAGATTTAGTTAATATTTAGCTTGCTTGGTAAGATTTTGTATTAAAAACATTATACGTATTCAAAATATCAAGATATTGATTTATCATAATTATAATATAATTTATAATATTTTTTATTAAAATATAATAAAACATATAATTATATAGTCCATTGCAAAAAGATTTGTTTATCAAAATTTTAGTTAAAAAGTATTATTAATAAAAGTTTTTAAATTGTTAATAATATTAATAAGTATATATTACATTTATGATGTTTAATACTAGTACAAAAATTACTTGATTATAATTGGTTAATTTGTAAATCATTTTTAGATTAGCAAGTTAGCAGGGTTTTTTTTTTTGGTATTAAGGTGACCTCTTTGGTCTTTTGACTTTTATTAATCACTTATCAGTATTGTGGTTCAATGAACCACTACAGAAGAGAGTACAATTGGCTATATGTGTAACTTTTTTATATTACCTATTTAAAGAGTCTGCCCGAAGGTTTCCTACCAATTACTGTACCTAACACTCCTGCTTGGATGTTTCACTTTAAACCTTCTGAATCTGTAACCTGTATTAACTCACTGGGTTATACTCAGATGTTCAGATTATCATCTCAACCTTAGAACTAATATATCCTCAAGATAAACCTCTCAGAGCCTTCTATACCTATTTTTATAGTTGACTTAGATATTGCTATAGCAGAACCAACACTTGTAGTTAGGGTTAACCATTAAACTACTATGCTTTTGTAGAGTTCACTTAGATCACAGCATCTACTTCACAGCATAACCTCAGTACTTTAGTATATTCCTGCCTTTTTACCTGCTTTTTTATCAAACTTTCAATCCAGATAGCCTATGTAGAACTATAATCAGTCTATTAGTATATTGAATTGGCCTGATATCCTTTTCTTTTGGTTCATTCTGATGGCCTGGTTGGTGTTACCTCTGAGACTCCCAACTCAGAGGTTCTTGCCTGTCTGGCTACTACAACCAGATACTACAATCTTAGTATCTATTTCTTTAGGCTAGCCTTTAAGTAAGGCTGTCAAAGATCCAGCTATCTTTCTACTTAAGTCTTCCTAAATAGACTTCTTATTACTCAATTTCAATAGATTTACATGGTTACAAGAACTTATCTAGTGTTTGTACTGTCTAATTTGTCAGTTTGCATTCTTTTGTATAACATTATATTTATACAGATACCCTATGACCTGCCAGTTATGCTAGTATGACTGCTATTACAAATATTCTAACCTAATCATTAGTAACAGTTACCATAATACAAATATTACATAGGTGATTATCCAAATTTTTACTGTCGATAGGATTTGAATACCTAACTTACTACTTGGGAGTTGACAACCTGACTACTTCATTAGGTTGCAATATCCTTTAGTTAGCAGGTTTTTTATTTTAATAATAACTCATAATATTAATAATTTTTTTAAAAAAAATATTGCAATTATAAGTAAAATTTTATATTGAACATTTTTTTAGAAGCTAAAATATAGTAATTTTAATAAACTTTTATAATATTTATATATTTTTTATTTTTTTCTTTAGTTTTTTGATTATATTTCAAAATTTTACTAAGTAAACTATTTTGGCTTCTAAGTAAATTTGGTTAATATAAAATTTGTATATAATTACAATAAGTTTTTAAAATATTTAAATTTTTCTTTAAATATTTTATATTCTTTATTTATATTGATTATTACACAAAATTAAATATTTAATAATCTAATTAGCTAAATTAAAATGTAGTATTAAATACTAGTAATATAATTTATCAATATTTAATAATATAATTAATAAAATTTAAACTATCTTTTTTTATTAATTATATTATTTAAAAATTTTTTAAAATAATCTAGTTGTTACTAATAATGACAGTCACCAGATTGCAATTGAGCTATAAAATTAAAACATATACTAAAGTTAATTATTATTAGATTTAGTGTTGAAGTTAAATTAGAATTATATTAGAACTTAGTTTATAATAAAATTTTATAAAGAATTTTTTTAATTAGAACACAAAAAGTGCTTTCATAAACAGAATTTTGAGCTATTGCAAATTTTTGAAAAATGTCAATATTTTCTTCATTTTCAGGTTACATAAACATTAATATCTGATCTTGTAATATGATTGGCCAATTGCAATTCAGTGACTGTTACCACTAGCAACAAATAGATTTGTTCAAATTTTTAGATAAAATTAATAAGAAATAACTTTTTAATAAAAAAATTACAAATTTTTTTTAAAAAAAAATCCAATTTAATAAACATCTTTATGAATTTAAAAGTTTAAAATTTGTTATTGTGCAAGTAACTAGCTATAAATTTAATAAAATAATGTTTAAAATTTTATATAAAATAATTACTAAATAAAAAGTTATTAATCTTTAAAATTAATATATTTGTATATTTATTATAAATTATATATAATGTTTTTTAAAAAAATATTAAAATAAGTACTTGTAACTCAAAATTTTATTAATAGTATATTTAGTTAATAATTGCATTATAATTATAGAAAACAATTATAAAAAAAATATACAACTTATTACTTATATAACTTTAGTTATTATTTAATTTAAGTAGTTTATCTGAAGGTTCTATACTAGTTATTATATCTAAAATCTGCTTATAAGTTCTCTATTAAACATTCTAGTTCTTATATCTTTTTACTTATTTATACCTATTAATAAACCTAATTAATATTAGTAAAAATATGTTATAATTACTAATAACAGTTTACTTATATAAAGAACCTTTAACTTTGTATTAAATTTTTCAGAATCTTTTGTATTTTATTCTTACAACTAACTTAGTAATATTATAGTTAAAACCAATATTTATAATTAGGACTTATCATTAAATTATTATGTTTTTGTAAAGTTCATTCTAACTCTGATACTTTCTTTAAAATATATCTTTTTTACTTTAGTATTTAATTCAAGTTTTATTAAACTTTTAGATTAAATAATCTAGAAAAATAGATACAACTATATCTCTAATTTATATATTTTCTAATATATAACTTTTTTTAAAAAATTTCTAGTAGTTTAGTTGATTACAACAATCTTTTTTTAAAGACTAACATATTATTTAGTTTTATAAGTTCTAATTCTGTTTTCTAAATTTAGTTTTTACAGTAGTATTGTTAAAAGTTTAAACTCTATCTCTTTATTTATGTTTTTTAAGTAGGCTTCTATTTTTCTAATTCTTGTGATTTATATGTTTATGAAAATTTATTATAGATTTATATTGCCTAATACTAGTTTGTATTTTTTATATAACAATATGTTATATAAATATTATATAACTTTTCAATTATGCTAATATAATATAAGTAACAAGTATTTTTATCACTAAATTTTTAAAAGTGTTATATATTAATAATAATATTTATATTATTATTAATATATAGCATTTTTGTATAGTATTATTATAAGTAATTATCAAAAGAACTCTTTTTAATGATCCTTTGCACCAATTTTTTCATATATACTAATCTATGAAAATTATATAGTTAGTATGTTTATATATAACAAAACTTTATTATATAGCATCTAGATTCAAGAGTTTCAGATTGCATGTGAGCTATATAAAAAAAAGTTGAAAAAGACAGCTTCTTGTAGGTTTGGCTCTTCAGTAAAAGTCTATGGAGTTATTAAAAAAGTAACTTTGACTACAATTAAGAAAGTTTTTGTTAAGCTATATCTGAGCAGCAGCAAAGATAGAAGCCTAATTGAATATGCTATTTTGTATAATATAAAC